ATATTTAACCAATTTTATATTAACTTGAAATATTAATCGATAATTTGATGTATTCCATGTATTTTATTTGATTGTGATAATTTCATGAATCAAAACCAATGTATGTTTTAAAATATATTATTTTTTTTACAAAATGCGTTGAGTATAAATGAGTTGTTCTATTTGTTCAATTTATTACAAGTTGATATTCTGTTGAAAAGAACAACAAAGAATTTTTTTTAATAATTAATTATTGATTAAATTTTAAATTAAAAATAAAAATAAATTTTTTATTATTTATGTTAATTTAACAAAGTTGAAAAATTAAAAGCATTCGGGTTGTTAATGTCATATAATACACATCATAAACTATTATAAAATCAAGTAATTTTAATCTCTTTCTTATGTATATAAAAACGTGTTATTTTTATTGTAGATATGTTAATTACTTTTGGTTTATAAAAAAAATATTGTTATATAACTTAGACAATTTCATTTTTAATTGCGAAAGGAAACACACAGAAGAAATTATAAAACATTACACTTGTTTTATTGGACAACTTTACACTGGAATAGTCTTATATGTAAAAACACAATATCCCAAAACATCTTCAATAACCAAAGTAATTCATCAATTGTCTATAAATTTGAATGAATTATACTCGTTTTGAAAACGAAATAAGAGTTATAAACACTTTTTGAAAAACAATATTTTGGTTTACAGTGCTTGTTGTTTTATGTATTTAGGTTTTTAAAACGCCAATAAAAAACGATCATTAACTCCATACAAAATCGGATTTTTTTAAAATGGGAAATTTGAAGAGTGTAGTTTCAAGTTTGAAAATTGAATTTATTGTACTAAAAAGGTTGGTATTTTTGATAAAAATCCTAGATTAGATTTGAAAGCCCATATTAAAAGAACTTTTGGATATCAGATTCGAAAGAACTAAATGAGTGCTAACCTCAATCGTGACTCTCAACGTTTTATTGAACAAAGAAATTTACAAACATATCTAGAATGCACAATATTAGCAATATTATCATACAACACTGAAATACAACTGATCAAACCACAAAAATTAACAAAACATTCTCAGCCTTTTATTAAAATTAAAAAATTGATGATACTCAACGACGATAAATGGAGTTTGGAGATTGACACTATAGTAAAAGAACGAATTAAAGCTATTGAAAAAGATTATAAAAACAGTGGAGTCGCCAAAAATACAGCTTTTAGAAGGTCACTTAATCACAAGAAAAGGGACATGATGCATATTGTGGAAGATATTATATATGAGTGGGGATATACAGTTCGGTACGAAGGAGAAAACAGAGAAGGGATTTATGGCAACGTTGAAATTGAAATGCCAAATGGAAAACTTATCAACAAAAAGCGAATTGTTGATATAGATCAAAGAGTCTGGGAATACTTGAGAGTTAAAATGGTATCATCAAAACTACACTACAACGATACGAACTTTGTGAAGTGTTAATAACCCCACCTAGCCATACAGTGGTTGATAAATAGAATGTTAAGAGTTTAAATTTTAAATTGTTATTATGTTAAAGAATAAGTTGATATTTTTAAAAAATACCTTTTTCAATTGATGTTTTCAAATATTAATTTTTGAAAACACTCGTGAGAAGTCAATTATGTTATTCCAATTTCATTTTTATTGATTTTGGTTTTCATAGCTCAGAGGGGTTTTCTCTATTACCCATTTCTTCGCCCCTTGTTTCTGTTGTCACAAGGTTTTCATGTTCAAAGACATCGGATGATAATTCTATTTTATACGAAGCTTTCCCATGGTTCAGGTACGATATTAGGTCTTTCATGCACGAAACTGTTACATCTCTCAATATTTTGGAGTAGTTCAATTTGATTTTAAGTAGTTTCTCTAATCTTTCTACTGAGAGTTTGTTGATAAGTCCGCTTGTTGGTAATACTACAGGAATTGTTGTCACACTTTTCATGTTCCTCCCATTTCTAATTTTTTCGTTAAGGGTGGCATATTTGACAACTTTTCTGAAGTACTCAAGAGATAAATTTTCATCTTTCACTATTGTAACATCGATAATATATCCTTTTTTCTCAACATTGTTTTGCCAGTAGAGGTCTGGTCTACGGGCAAATCTTTGTCTATCATCATCTAAAATATTTTTCTCAGACATTACTATATTTTTCTCTTCCTTGTCCGAAATACACTTTGGGAGTGTATTTAGAGTGGTTTCTTCTGGAATTAATTGCAATCTTTTTAAAAGAGCACACTGAATCTCCTTACACACTTTGTTGTGTCTATCTATTTGTGATTTTTTGTCATTGGGCAAGATAGTAGAATGTGTGGAATTGATGCTACCTTGTTCAAATATTAATTTTTGAAAACATTTAAAAAAACAATAATTATATGAATTATAATATATAGTATTATTATTATTTCTTTTGACTTTAATTTGCGAAATAATAATTCCTTTTAAAACAAACTAAATGAACTGTTAAAGTTTTGGGTACAATGTCGAATTTGAAATTCATAGAAAAAACATATGACATTGACACTTTCACTATATTCTCGAGAGAGTACATCAACCCTTCACAAATAGCAGTTCTGTATTTTATTCACGGCTTCACGGAGTATGGGGGATTTTATCATGAAGTGGCCGAATATTTTTATCGCCACAAATTTTCGGTGTTTCTTGTCGATCTTCCTGGACATGGGAAATCGAGTTGTATGAAAGAAGGAGGACCGACTTATATCGATACGTTTGAACGGTATATCAATGTTCTCAACACGTATTTTATCGTGACAAAAATGAACTCAAACATCGTGAAAAACTGTTTTAAAAGTGAAAGAGAGATGATGTGCGACACTAGTGATAACCAAAGAAAAAATGAAGAAAAAGAGATCCCACAATTTCTGTTTGGGCACTCAATGGGTGGTCTTTTAACATCAATACTTGCTTCGAGAAACAGTGGGTTTAAAGGGTACATCACCGCAGCACCGGCGTATATCATCAACAATTTTGCGACCAAATATTTGTCGTGGCCAATTGAGTTTGGGTTGGTGATGTCACCATACTTCAAAATTGGTAACAATGGCGCTAAAAACGCGTTTAATCACATTAAAAACGCAATTCGGTTTGGAAAGGATGAACTTATTGCAAAAGAATTTAGTGTCCACACGTGTATTGAGATGAAAAGGTACGGTTTCGACGAACAAATTCGAGAAACAGAAGTGCCTTTTTTGATATTCCAAGGAAAAAATGACAAAATTGTTGACGTGGAAGGGGCACGAATGAAATCGCGTCACATCAAAAACAAACATTCTCGATATATAGAATACCCTGAACAAAACCACATGCTTCTCGACGAAGATAAGAAGACTGATATTTTTCAAACGGCAATGGAGTGGTGTTTGGAACTTATGAAATAACAATTAATAATGTTTTCTTGGTTTTTAGAAGATAGTAAAGTCTGATTTCTAATTAACAATATTCCAAAAATACAACAAGGAAATTTACTATATCTGTTTTTATATTATAATACATAGTATCTACCATCGCCAATTAAAAACCATAACTAAATAATAATTTTCTTATTAACTTTTACCATTTGACATTCTCAAAGAAACGCAGGTTGTCAATTTTTTTTGCTTTTCAAATCAATCGGTTTCACGTATTAATCGCCTTATGACTATGACATTTCTGTAATTAACTATAGAATCAGTCTTTTAACGTTATTTGGTGGACAAAAAATACCTTCATTTTTGTTTAAACATCAGGCATTAGGTAAAGCGTGAAAAAACCCGAAACAATTGCGATGGATTTTTGGGACTTCTCCCCGAATTATTCCATTTTTTATGGTCCAAAAGGCACCAGATAACGTTTGAGACCAGATAACGTTAAAAAACAAACTCTATTAAATGGTTTGCCGGTTGTGTTGATATTACTCGGAAATTAACCAGAGAAAAAATTACAAACTCCACATTTCTTGCTTTCTTTTTTTGTATGTATAATGTGGTTAAAAAGTAAAAAATTTAAAAATAAAACAAAAAAATATTATTTCGAAAAAAAAGAAA